TTCCTAAGCCTTCTCCTCCTTATGCATAGAGTTGTCAAGCCTGCTTCTCTACCTCTCGTCTTTTGCTTCGTGATATGTAGAAAGCATCTATTGAATTGAAACAAATCGTTTGTTAAAATTAAGTGCAGTTGCAAATAATTACTAAATATTACGTGATCTTATTATACTTTGTATGTATTGTCGATTAATTACACGTGATGCATAGTTTGTATTGCGATAGCGGAAAAAATAAAAACGGAGGAAATTTGTCATGTTCGATACTCACGATATTTTACAAATAAAATCTGGACATTGGAATGCATCTGAGATGGCGAATTTTTCCGAGCGTTTAACTTTATTCGTCAAAGGCAACATAGCAGCACTATTCGGCAGCACAAGTATTATGAAAAGTGTGTTCAAATTATCCAAATACTAACACCGAATCTGTAAGATTACATGAATGTTATATATTTTATAAGAATTAGATATAAAATTAATATAAATTTTGCTTACCAATTTAGTAAGTCGCGACGTCATTTATTCGGAATCAATCCGTCTCGTATCCGCCACATTCTACAAATAAAGCAAATACAATTAGTATGTCAAAGTGATTTCGTCTTTCGCGTAAACAATTTCATACGTCAAGAGCGACATAACGACACGATGCGTCGTCATGGCTAGATAGCGCGTCCTTTTCTCATATCCAGTTGCGTCAACATTACTTTAACGATATTTAAAACTCACTTTCTCTCTTTAAAGAGAGAGAGAGATAGAGTTTTAAGCCTCGCTTCAAAATCAAAGTAATATTGAGCCTCAGTAAATATTAAATCTATAATTGCGCGAACTAAATATTGTAATAAATGATAAATATTATGTGTAATATAAATTTCGATTACCATTTAATCACGACGCCACTCGTCTCGGAGCCGGTCCGTCTCGTGTCCACCACGCTCTGTAAATAAAGCGTAGATGTAATTAAGATGTCAAAAGAAGTAAATGCAAATAGTCTTCGTTTTTGCATGATTAACTTAATTCGTGCGCCAAGAGCGCCGCGAACGACGCAGCGTCGCTACGTCTCTCATTGTTGGCGTCGCGTTCACTGAATTTTTCGTGTTTCGAAAACACGTGATGCTCGAGATAGAAATAATAATCATCATAAAAGGTAAACATATATTATAACATAGTCCACTCGCCTTTTATGATGATTATTATTTTCGCGTTGTAGATTAACATGAAAATTATTGTCAATTATTCACGACGACACTTTCAGCCGAACAAGTTTTATGAAATACGCATTCAAACGGATCATTAGTAAACAAATACCGAATCTACAGTTACGCAGTACAACAGTAACAGTTAAATATCGAAAAATGGTTGTATACAAGTTTTGTATAGGTTTTTTATTTACCATATATGATCGCGCTGCCACTTGTTTGAGAGCTGATCCGTTCCGCCGTGTCATTCCCTACCCGTCGTATTTCGCGAACGAAACGTGAATGCGATCGAAATAGGGACGCGATGCATCGTTTTCCACGCGCGGTTAACTTCACGCATAAAAAGCGACGCGAAGCTCGGCGACCATCTTGATTTTCAATCGAATGAGTATCGAGAAAAATACTTTCGGCTGAATAATCGATGTACTATATAGAATCTACATTATGCGATATTTAAAATGTTATCGGAAATAAATGCAAAGTTAATTATACTTCGTATCGTATTAAACTGTAGCCTACAAATTGAATATTTTAATATAACGCATAAGATATTTTCGATAAAACTCTTCGATAGATTAAAAGCGGTTCTTAAAACATTCTCGCGTCGCGTGTCAAAATGATTTAATTTAATATTTATTAATTCTTGATTACCTCGAAATAATTCCAGTGTCCTTTCAAGTCCTTTCAAGTCGTTTCTCGTCGTTTTATTCGCTGATAGACATTCTCTGCAAAGATTAGGAACATTAGGATGCTTTGAAGAAGAAAGGTAGATTATAGAATAACTGATTCGAAGCGACAGGGGTGCGAATATACTATTTCAACGTAAAATGACAGGATATACGCCCGTCCCCCTAGCCGAATCGCAAAAGCGCGAGATCGCGAATTACGCGATATTTATATGCGCCGTCAAGTCTCAAACCCCACCACTAGCACGCTAGCCAATGGTCGCTGCGGATGCGTATTCGAGCGCTTATTGGAGCGCGCTAGCTTTTCGTTAAGAGTATATAAGCGCGACGCGTAAAGTATGCCAGTCTTTTTCGGAATTTCACGCCGTGCGTTTCATGAGAGTAGATAAGTCTATACGTATTCAGAACACACTTTTACGATATTAACGCTATTTAGCACATAGTTTTTGTTACATATACTATAGAATTTCAAACACATAAAAGCGCGTTTTAAATACGGGCCAGAAATTACATTATTTCCAAAAATTATAAATCAATTAGAATAAATAAATGATGGCTATTGAAAAAATTGTATGAAAGAAAAATCAAACATATAAAACAATGAGTAATCAATCTTAAAAAATGCGCGCAAATTAAAGTCATAAATGAACAATGAAAAATTAAATGCTAGAAATGTTATCGAAATTTACGAATCAATATAATAATGTTATTTATTACAGATGATGAATTGAAAAAATAACTTACGAATTTGTATTTCAATTTTTTTGAAAGAGAAAAAGAAAAAGAAACATAATATAAATTATAATTTGTGAATCACTTAAACACTGCGCAAATATAAAAGTATATTTGTTACTTAAGTCTTTTAATAAAATTTTAAATCAAAATATTAATATAGCAGTATCATTTCACTGAGTTCTATTTTATTGTATAGTATTAAATGTATTATGATAATAATCATTAGACTCACTATGAAATGAAAAACGATATTAGGTTTTTTTGTATATACGCGACATTGGAAAATGGACTCAACGAATTATATCGAGCATTAAATGCAAATTGTCCAATGAATATAACACTTATTATATCATCATGTATTTAATATTTAATAAATAGAACTAAATAAATATAGCTCATATTGCTATTAATAGCTTGATTTGAAGAATATTGTTATAGAACTTTATAAGTAATGTATATCCTTAAAAAAAACCTCTTTACAAAGGAAAAAATATATATGCCAAATGCATAAAAAGGATTTCACTGCTTTTTGTAAATTTTTGAAAACAATGTTGTCGACGCCTGATGTCATCGTCTTCGTCCGGAGTGCCTGGTGTCGACGTTCGCCCGACACGTTCATCGTTGTCATCTTCGCCTGGCGTCGTAATCGTCATCCGGCATCACCTTATGCGAAAATTATCGACCTCACACCTAATTATTCACTTAGCGATATAGATTAGACGTGTGGATATATCATGCAAATTGCTGATTTGGGAACATCGAGAAAAAAAGTGCATCTTTAATATTTTTATATAATAAAAACAAAATCTTGTAACAATTTTCACAACTCAACTTAGCTTAAAAAATATCTCTTAGTGTATAAATAATAAATTATTTATACACTTATCTTACTCTACATTATTCTTACAAACTTATAATTAATTATTCTCATTCTTAATATGGTATTCAGTTTACTATTTTCGACTTATAGCATTTACAACTTTTATAAATATATTTTTGAGAAAAAGTACATTATTAATAACTGATAAAAAAATAAAAATAATTTATTTATATTTTTATATATTAACATTTTTGTATAAATATATATAACATTTATATATATATATATATAAATTTTCATAAAATTCTTTTCATTATAAATCATCTTGTCTATCTAATGATTTTAAATTGTTTATGAACATTGGTAAATATTAAGAAAAAGAAGGGGAGTCCACCTTCATTAATCTCGATCTTGATATATGATGTCAAAATCATGGCAACAACATTATTTAAAAGCTCAACTAAAAAAATTTTTTCTGAAATTTGCCGTCCTTAACTATAATCCACTCCACTCATATGTCTCAGTAGGTCTGTTTTCTATATGGCTGAGAACTAGTGTATACTTTTAGAACTTAAAGTAAGATAGTTATATATTTTATATTTGTTGAAAAAGAGTTTTAAGGGATTTCGTATAATAAAAGGAACAGTATAAACTGTTCCAGTAAACTATACTCTGCAATATATGATTTCTGATAGGTTGAAATTCTTATTTTTTGTTCTCCTGTTTCCTGTTTTTTTTGTCCCTAATGCAGTCTGGTGGAGGAACAGGAACTAGACCAAATATTGTAAAATTCATTTTACACCATTTAGCACGTGGCACTGGCAGTGTATAGATAGATTTGATTCTTTGGATCTTCATTATTATTCTGTGAGTAAATAAAATCGAATCAATTTTAAGAATTTTCCTTGCTCGGTCATCGAGATTATAAATATATATATTTTTAATTGATTACACATTCGTAAATTACTGAAAACCTTATTTATTAATGTATGAGTACGAAATATTTGGCAACGAGATGAATGAGATTTCGACCTCGTATGATCATAGGAATAGGAAAGAGGGAGATTTCGTATTGTGCTAATTGTATTGCGATCTTGAAACCAGAAAATCCTTTGAATTTATCAACTTTAACTTTTTTGTCGCGTTTTTGTTTTTATATGTGTATGCAATAATGTATAGTGCAATCACACTTTTATATTTATTTTGTTTTTATATGTGTATGCAGTAATGTATAATACAATCACACTTTTATATTTATAACTGCTATTTATACATTTCACCGAGTTTTTTCAAGAAATACGGTCTTCTAATAAATTCGTAACATCTTAAGACCGTATTTGAGACAGTCTTAAATACAAGGATCGAATGCAGAATACCGGCTTACAACAGTGGAGTGAGTACCTGTAAAGTGTAAAGTCTAAATTGTATACGTCTACATCATCGACTATCGATAATTATCGCATTTGTTTTCGATTCGTTTACGCTAACATCCGACGATTCTCTCGGCGTCGCTACCAGTTGATAACTGCATTACCCTTCCACGGAAGAAACCGAGACTGGCCGAGGCTCAGGAAAGATGGTGAAACGCAGAGAGACAGATGTGCAGTTCTAAACGTCCCGATGTCTAAATCGCCAGTGAATAATCACGCGAACGGCGGCCGATATGCGAGCGGGCAATCGTGCGTAGCTTACAGGCGGGATTGAGCGTTACGATTTGAGAGATTCGTCGTGATCCGGGCATCGCTCGTGGATCCGTAATCGCGGCACGAAGGTACGCGGATAGATGCAGAATGTGCCTTTGTTTATGGAGATCAGCTGTGCTCCCCAAAACATCTCGCGTCACCCTTTCCGTTTCGCGCGCTCTTCTTACAATCAGCGACCCACGCTGCTATTTTCGTCGGATAAAGGTCAGCCGAATTTTGCCGAATGCAGGGACGAAGTGATCGAGGAGCACGCGTGACGTTTTTTATCGCACTGTTCGCAGAGAGCTCGAAAGAACTTTATCGAAAAAAGAAAAAAAATTATGGAAAAAAGAGAAACCTGATTCACCGTCTTATGGTTGAAAGAGAGAGAGAGAGAGAGAGAGAGAGAGAGAGAGAGAGAGAGAAAGTCCATTTCTTTGCATTTTCCAAGAATAGCACAAATTAAGCTCTTGGTTTTTAAATCGCATTTTGCCTCGGAACATCTTAAAACTTTGTTGTTTCTGTGTTGTTCTAGAGAATCGACGTATTTTGCAACGCACAAGGAGTTCAGGTTTCGCGCTGCAGGCATTGTAAAGTTCAATTCTCTTTGATCGTATCTAAATATTACTATTCAGGGAAAATGTGAGCGCGAAAGAGAAGTGGGTCGTACAATAATTAATATAATTTTAGGGAAACGTTCTGGGTGAAATGTATAATTTGATGAGTAATTGATCCATGAAAATTGATTAATTTCATGATAAAATACACAATAAAGAGGATTTCAAAAAGAGTGATAATAAAAAAAACTTATTTAAAAGACATGTATTTGGAACAATGCTTAAGTAGCAATTGTTTCACGATGAGGCAGGGATGTGCGTCATTCAAAGAGATTTCAAGTGACTTTCTTTGTGCCTAAGTCAATTGTTATCATTACCTTTGTCATTACCTTTGTGTTAAGATGTGAGTCTAATGAGCTTTTCGCGAAAAATATTTTCAAACTCGAAGAACTTCTTACATGAAAGGCATGTGAAATCTCTTGTGATCGATAAATAAGCAATTATGATGTTTTGTGAAGATTTTACAATGCTTATTAATATTTTTTTTATTAGTAATTTTCCTGCAAATATCCAGGTTTTATTATTCTTCAATTATTATGTTTATTTTTTACATTACTTTACAGTAAAGTGCAAATAAAATATTGTTTAATTTTATTAATATTTTTATTGATATTTTTTTGATACACTCATATCTTTATATGAGATAAAATGTACAGTAATCAGATACTGCTATATTACGTTAGTATTAATTGAAAAGCTTGCTATAACAATAGGCTTACCTACTTTTCATAAAAACAGACTAAATAAATTCTAAAGTGATGAGAGAAATGGATTACTAATATCGCCTACGTTATGGGTATAATGATATTTTTTCCATTTATAACTTTATAGTTCAATTACTCCGCATTTATTAAATATAGGTTAGCTCATTGTTGCAGCAAGCCCCTTCAGTGTACTAATTGATTTATATTTTAGATGCTTGTGAAGCAACCATCAACTGGTAGCTAATTAAATTTTATGACATGAAAGAATGAAACGAGAAACTGTCATTACCATTGTAGAGCCTGATCGACGTGCGCAAACGGTAAGATCTGATTATCTATTTTTGTATCCTAATTATAATATAGATATATTTTCTCTTGTATAAGAATTTGCTTCTATAATTTGAAAATTTATTAGTTTATGTCTACTTTTTAAATATTTATTATCTAAATATATTTATAATATAATCTATATTAAATAAGATAAAAATATATGCTTTTATATTATTGCTTCAATATCTCATTACTTTCACAGATGACGACGGTATTGGACAGTAGCTATCAACGTATACAGCCTTACGAGGGGCAAGAGGAAGACGCGGACGATGAAGACGATCGTGAGGAGGCGCCTCAAGAATCAGGTGTCATCATCCATGTGGTACCGGAGGGTAACAAAGCACGATGGAATCACATCGAAGACCTAGATTCATTCTTCACACGAATGTATCACTATCATCAGCAACATGGCTTCGTCTGTATGATGCTCCAAGAAGTTTTGGAATTACTGCAATTCTTTTTTGTAGTCACATTCGTTACCTACCTCTTTCACTGCATCGATTACAGTAAATTATATAGGTATATAAGTCAAGTTTGAGCAAATTATTATGCGATATGTACATCATTTTAACAGATATTTAATCGATGCTCTATATTTTTAGTGGAAATACCACCGATATCATCAACAAAAGCGATGCAATAATGTGCATGGGAGATTGTATAAAGTCGATCTCTTCATTTTATTGGAGTCTTCTCGTAGTCGCGACAATTTTCTTTATCCTCCAATTCCTCAAAGTTTTGTATCACCTAACGCAGTTCTGGGAGATCAAAATGTTCTTCAATACAGCGCTTAAAATCGCCGACAGCGAGCTAGACAATTTTACGTGGCACGAAGTTCAGAAACGTGTGATAGAAGTGCAGAAGGAGCAAGAGATGTGCATTCATAAAAGAGAACTTACGGAATTAGATATATACCATAGGATATTAAGACATAAAAATTATATGGTAGCTATGATCAACAAATCACTCTTACCTGTACGACTCAAAGTCCCCATTATAGGTGAAGTCATTTTTTTGACACGGGGTTTGAAATATAATATAGAATTATTACTATTTTGTAAGTATAATTGCATAATATGTATATGATATAATTTTATTAGAAATCATTAATTTATATCACTTTTCTAGGGGGACCATGGTCACCATTCGAAAATAATTGGCATCTAAAGGAAGATTATAAAAAGTTAAATAAGAGGCAAGAACTCGCACGATCATTGTCTAAACATATTTTATGGGTCGGTATCGCAAATTTCGTTCTGTGTTTCCTTATTCTTCTATGGCAGGTTCTTTATACGTTTTTCAATTACGCTGAAGTGAGTAATTAATAATAGCTGATTTATAGTAATCAATGTTCGCGTTCAACAGAATGTTTATTTTGCAATTTTTGGAAGTTTTCTTCGCGACGATTGAATTATACTTTGATCTAGAAAGATAGTCCCATCTCAGCAAAAAACTTCCAGCAGTTGCAAAATAAACATTCTGCTAAACGCGGCCAATAGTTTGTTTAACACGATAATCAATACTAACATATGACAATAATATTATCGACAGACTATTAAACGAGAGCCAAGTGTTCTGGCGATGCGGACGTGGTCCCTATACGGTCGATTGTACCTGCGACATTTCAACGAACTCGATCACGAAATGAATGCGCGTCTCAGTCGCGCGTACCGTCCTGCTTCGAAGTATATGAGCAGCTTCACGTCTCCAATAATGACAATAGTCGCAAAGCACATAGCGTTTATCACTGGTAGCGTATTGGCAGTGTTACTAGTTATAACGTTAATCTATGAGCCAACATTCTCGATGGAACGTGTGGTTGCCTACATGACCATGTTAGGAGGAGTGGCAGCATGCGCGAAGGCAATTGTACCCGATGAGAATCTAGTTTGGTGTCCCGAGACTCTTCTAACTGCTGTGCTGGCCCACACGCATTACAGACCGGATAGTTGGCGAGGGACTGCTCATACGCATACCACTAGAGCCCAAGTAGCACAGTTATTCCAATATCGCGCGGTGCATCTGTTGGAAGAATTGGTTTCTCCATTCGTGACAACATATATTTTGTGCTTCCGTATGCGACACCGAGCCTTAGAGATTGTAGACTTTTTTCGTAACTTCACGATTGAAGTGGCTGGAGTCGGTGATGTGTGTAGCTTCGCTCAGATGGACGTACGTAGACACGGCAATCCCATGTGGCAGACTGTAGCGCACAGTCCCACGGTCTCTCCGCTGCCAGAGGAGAGACTGCATCATAGTGCAGGATACGACAATCAGTACGGCATCGATGCAGACAAGTACCACGTACCGATGTCGAATCATTATACCCAGGCCGAAGACGGCAAAACCGAATTGTCCCTCATACATTTCACTCTGACGAATCCTGAGTGGAAGCCGCCGTCCCATGCGGAGAATTTCGTAACTGCTTTGAGAGAAAGGGCTAAGAAGGAAGTAACTGCCGATCCTGATCCTTATAACAATCCCCTGATAGCTAGTTTGAATAGTCTGTCCGGTCTTGGCGTAAGTGTTCGATATTTCTTTCGCTTATTAAATAATTTTACTTATAGAATTATTTGCTTCATGTATCATTAATATATTAATATATTATTACAGTACAGAGATCATGTGTCGAATATTATTCGAAGTACGATGAATCAAGTGAGTGTACCTAGCATGAGTAACATTTTCACAAATCAGCCGGGTACATCAGCCACATCAGTCGGCGTCGATCAGTCGTTTGCCACAAGATCTACCGTTCTACGTCGAGGTGTGTCCAGGACGGAAGGTCCATTGCACAATGATAGAGGATTCCTGTATGATTTGCAACAAGGTATATCAAATCAGTCGCTAGGTGCTTCTGTATTCGGATCGGGCCACAGTTATGTTATGGAGACGCATACAGATCCGTATGCACCTACAGAATTAACCGCTGCCGATATGTCTTTGTCTACATTGTACCTGCATGAGCTTCATCATAGACAAGTAAGTATTTTGATCAATTTTCATGATGCAACAAACGTTACGAGTACAACATAACGAAGAACATTGCAAGCAACTTTGACAAGATATGTAAAAAATAGAAACGTTTGATCTCTAGGTAAGAAGAAGGGGTTACCAAGAAATGGCAACGAGAAGTATATGGCAGCGAAGTCCCGTTCAAGAGCTAGCAACACTTCCCGAGGTTAGACAAGAAAGAATACCTCTTCTGTTGCATCAGGATTCCTCTTTAAGGAAAAACAGAGAGTCCTAACACTAGAAATTTCATTTAAATAGCATCCGATTCGCGCAATAATCATCATTTTTAGAGGAATAAAGTGATTTTTATCTGTTTTATTATATAACGAATCCATGATTTATTTTACAATAAATAAGTAGTCGCAATATCCGAGAGTGAAATCGTTTGAACATTCTCGGTGTTACATAGAAGTTATTATGTCTTCTAAATATTTTACACAGAATGCAGAGAGAGCTTGCTTCTTTCTCTCTTTTCCTCTCTCTTCTTTCTCTGTGTGGCCAACGATCTAATAATGCCTATTCTTAATATCAAAGGCCTATTAAAAAGCTTACATTTTATATGTAAAATATTCACACTTAATATTATATTTTATATTTTGACGTAATGAGCAAAGCTCTATATATAAAAAAGTACAATTGATTTAAAGGGTTAGATCCAATATAGCAAGTAGAAATTTCGACATTTTAAAAAAAAAAAGTAATCGATATATGATGTTGTAATGTTTCTATAAATTTTTCTAAATGTAATCTTAATTTTTAGAGGGTATCTTTAAAACTCGTCATTGAATTGATAGCGGTTATTTGTAATGAAAATATATTATTTTCTGAGTTCAAAATATAATTTTGAAGCTTTTTTTGCTAAATTTTTGAAGCTAAATTGCTGTAAATTATTGTCATGGTTAAAGTTATGTAAATATTGTTTGAGTAAATTTATGAATTAAAATAATTTAGTTCATAAATTAAAGGGTTAAGAATTAGTCCTCAAGATTAAAGGGCTAATTATTTCAACATCAAAAAGATACATTTTTTTATGCTGATTTTTTAACAGATCTAATCCCTTAATTCAAGCTTTATTATGCTAGAAATGCAGCATATGTCAAAAGTTTGTCCAGTGACATTTAGGATATTTCAATAATAAATGAGTTGAATATAAAGGCTAGCATAGTATCCTTCCTTAGAATGATAAAAGAAAAAACAAAATAATGTCTTTTCGTTTAATAGGGAGAAATGCGTAACTTACTTGTCCGATAATTATTATCACCTCTCAATGCCACAATTCTCTAGTCATACGAAATTAATATCGCGCCGTAATATACTTCTTTTTTTTTTAGAGATAAAATGGTTCTATTTATTTTTAACATTTTATTTTTATTAACTATTTTATATATATATACATATTAAATATATATTATATATATATAATATATATTATATGTATATATACACATGTGTATATATATATATACATATACATGTATGTATATATAACGGCGGCTGAATATTGATGACTAGGGGAGAATCACATGTACATATATCGCGTTTGCAGAAACCGCGATAACAATATAAAAGTTAAAAGTACGCGTTGTGTCTCGTCCTTTGACATAACCCAGGTTGTTACGAAGTAGATTTAAGACAAAAATTTAGACTACTCTTATTCCTTGTTTATATATGCCACATCTAATAACTTAATGCGAAATCGATTTTTAAATAAATTAACATATAACAAGTAAAATAAATAAGAAGATACGTTTTGCTAAATCTTATATCGATGTGATTCTCATAACATGAGAAATTATATATGCTGTAAGGAACATCTGTAATTATAATTATAAAAATAAAAATAAATTTCATAATAAACTATGTTAATTAAATTCACGCGCTGCATATTTCTCTTATATTCAAAATCGACAGCAACAAATTTTTCGTTGCATTTTCCGGTTGCATTGCCGGTTTTTGCTTTAAATAATTTGTGGAAACTTTGTTTATATATTGTGTTTTTTTTCTGAAAGTTTTATTTTTAAGCCGGTACTCAATCGAATTTTATATTTATATAGATCGTTTTACAGTCTTTTATAATGTCACCAATCACAGAGACTGTTAGTATCTTCAGACAATTCTTAAAATAATGGACTATTGCCCGTATTTATAATCAGACCTTGTACTTAAGGCTAATACTTCCTTAAATTTATTTTTAGATGCTCAGCAGCCAATGAAATAATTCGTAGAATATCTAAAGATAAATTTAAGGAAGCCTTATTATGAGGCCTGACTATGAATACGAGGATTATGAATAGTCCATTATAGAATATGAATATCGGCTATAGAAGCTAAAAGTAAACTATTTTTGAACACGTCCTTGATTTTCAATTATTTCTCATGCTTTTGTTTTGAAAGAATGATCGATAGTCGAGTAAACATGAGAAAAATGACTAGCAGAATGCAAATATGAACGCTTGCCAAGAGGTTGTATCGTCAACTGCCAAGTTATTGGATGTCTCCAAGTACAATTTGCGTTGTAATCGCAATATCAGCGAGAAAATGACGAAGAAAGACTTCATTTACGACATCCCAACACCGGTGCAGACCATGAGAAAGGTATTTCCCCTTATTTGCGACAACAAGAATTACTCTTGGAGGATTTCTAAATATTAATTTATAAATAATTTTAAAGTATAATATTTATGGAAATAAAACGATGATTGATACATGCATTTGATGACAATTCTTAAAATGTATTTATCTCAGAATAAAAATTCATAATTTGCAGTTTGACATACAAAGACAACCAATTATTCTACTACGACGAAAAGATATTGGTACGAGAATGCCGCATTACACTATAATTTCTGAGAAACGGGAAGACAATGGTGACAGTGGCGATGCAACTGTTGTAAGTAGATATTATTTGTGAGAAACGGAATTTTATTTTTGTTGTTTGTATATCGAATCTAATTTTATTACAAGTAATGGAGTTATTGGATGCTATATGGATGTTCAAATATTCTTCTTTTTTTTAACTTAAATAATAAATTTAATTCAAATTAAATGAAAATTTAATTGTTAAAAAAATATAATTTTTTTCTATTGCATTGTTTTCTATAATTGCAATGTTATCCTATATATATATAATCATAATCTTAATATTATATATCTACTTCTATCTTAATCTATTTTTATTTCTAGTGTTTAAATTTTTACTTATTTTAAGTATCTATAAATTTCTGAGGTACAAAGAACAAATAAAAAATTTCTTGTCAAGATTTTATTAAGGTATAAAAGTTCGCTTAAAATTACATGTATTAACTAACTAATTTACAAAATATCGTAAAGTGCATAAAGTTAGTTAATTAAAAAATTGACGAACATTCGAAAATAAATCACAATTACTTTACAATGTCTGAAAAGAGAAGGTTTTCTTAAAAAATTACACACAAAATCGTTTATTTTCTATTTTACACCATTTTCTCAAAATTAGCTATCAGCTAAAAGAAAGAGAGAAAAATGGAAGAATTTTTCTTTCTGTTCCTTAGCGAAACTTTGGTGTTTCTTCTTGACCTCATTCTTAACGGACGTATTAAACAAAGTAACGGTTAGCCTCAATGACAATATTGCGACGTCACGATGGGAAAGATGAGGGGAGGGCATTGATGGGTACAATACATGCGGAACAAGAAAAAGACGACATTAAGCTGTATCTTGATTGTCTGTCGTTTTTTACAATTTCCTTCAACTCATTCGCTATTTGGCGTTAAAAGCCAGCAGTCTTGGTCAACTTTTTCTCCCAATTTCTCGCGAGGGAATGTCCGAACTCCTTTCTTCTCAGCGTTTCTTGCAAATGATTCCAGGGAAAAGCGAAAATAATGTGGGTATCAAATGACGCGAGGCGATTAATCAGACAAATTAAGGAAAATTTCCGAAGCAATTAATGAACGTTTTAAAGCAATGAAATTCAAATATTTATTGCATTTTTTTTATCATAACTGCTTGTTTTTAATTATATCAAAAAAGAATTTTATTGTAACCACTTTTTCGTGACTTTTAAGGAATTATTTAAGTTTTTTATTATATGCACGTCATAAAATGTTTTGTTATAGTAACAAGTAATAAAAAATTCTATAATTAAATCAAATATTTTAATAAAGTTTTTGTCAATAATTTCTCATAATGGGAATCTTGAGATGAGATAAGATCATATTACCTGCAATGCTCATAATACCTAAGTCTACTCTATAATAAACAATTTCCTTCAAAACAAATTTTAGTGAAATTAAATAGCTTAATATTTAAAAATATAATTCAAAAGTATAATTTTTTAAAGATACTGATACATACATACATTAGACTTTAAAGAGTTAATCTTTAGCGCCAGAGAGAATGTGAAACTTTTTTTTTTCATTTTTTAATATGTATCGACTTGTTGAAAAAATTGGAAACAAAAGTTTCATTATTGTCGAATTTTTCAGGTTGCTGATCGACGACGCATTTTAAGATACTCGTGCAATCTTTGCCAAGAACCGATGGCAACTTTATTTTCTCTGTCGACACACGTCAAGTTTCACTGCCAGAGATACTGCAAGATATGCTATTGGATTCCGCGTGAAAACGAGACGATGGAACGACACATTGGCAATTGTCATCGAATCGTATCAGAGATCGCAAGCTTCTAGTACTTAAAAATATCGAAGTAATAACACCTGTTCTTAATACTAAATGCCTAAATGCCTATTTATAAAAGCTGATATTTCAGCTTTCATAAGCTCATTTTATGTAATATATTCACTTAATGTTATAACATGTTTTATATTTTGACGTAACGAGCAAAGTTTTATATATAAAAAATACAATTGATTTAAAGCAATGATATGCAACTTGTAGCCTATGAATTTTTTACAATCAGCTAGCTTGTCGTAAATATAAAATTATATTTTCTATTTTTTATTCAAACAAAATAATGATATGGACATTTATTTACTTATGAAAATGTCTTAAAAATGATTTTTAAAAAGACTGCACATCACTAATTTAAAGAATTCAATATTTATAAGTATATCAATTTAACATTGATAAGTAGAAACTTTAGCATTCTTTAGAACGCTATATTTTCTTTGCTCCTCTAAAATATGTGTACTTTGTTTCATTTCATTCTATTTTATTATATACTCGAGATGAATTTTATTTCATTGTAGTCAAGACTGCTTGAGATTTATTTTGTTTGAGTATCCTAAATTTTAATTGCGACAATTATATATGTATATATGGGATTAAATTATCCTTTGTTTTGAATTATATTATCAACAAATTATGTAGTTATAATTCCCGCGTTGGCGAGCCATCTGTCATTAAACAACTAAATTCATTAGTTGGCATAGTACGTCTCTATCTGCTTTATTTGACTCAGATAATCTTACACGCGAATTGAAAAGAAATTAGGTTAATTGCGCTCTCGCCTGTTAATCAGCATAATACAACGACAGCTTTCACACGGCATTTCCGGTTTTTATCGCATGCACGACATGTAGTAGATAATACATTTACTAAATATCATTAATCCCATACTTCCGGATTAGACATTTTCGTATGTACAAGCCTGCAGCCGGGTTGCACATCAGTGATGCACATTTGACCTCGGGCATCTCAAAGAATCAGCCCCTCCACTTTTGCTCCACCAATTAATGCCGCGTTTAGT